CATTGATGTATTCCGTGCCATTATCTGTGCGAAGTATTTGGATTCTTGCCTGGAATTGTGTTTGATCATTTTATGAAAATTGATAAACACGGAGTGGACTTCAGATTTTTCTTTTAATAGGTAGACCCAACAGACTCGAGTATGATCATCGATAAATGTGATAAACCATTTAGTGTGTGTTCGATTTGGGTTCGAGAGGGTCCCCATACGTCACTGTGAATTATAGTGAAGGGTTTAGATGGTTTGTATATAGATTTTGGGTATGAGGTACGCTGATGTTTCGCAAGTTCACAATTTTCACACCGGAAGTCAACAGAAATGTTATTTGAAAATATTGAAAGGATTACACGTTTCAAATACTGAAAATTTGGGTGGCCTAGCCTATAATGCCATAACAGAATTTCACTATCCTGAGAAACAGATGCAGAGTCACAAATAGCAATTTGATTTAGTTTACTCACATCAGCTTCCTCAAAGTAGTATAGTCCCTCACACTCTCTAGCACTGCCAATCGTCTTCCCCGATGAAAGGTCCTGAAAAATACAGTGAGACGGAAGAAAATTAGCACAACAATTGGAGTCTCTAGTTAGTTTGCTAATGGACAATAGGTTACATGATAAATTTGGAACATGTAAGACAGATTCGAGGGTTCTAGAGTCAGATATTTTGATACTCCCTTTTCCGACGACAGATGAGAGGGAGCCATCTGCAATCTTGACTTTAACATTACCAGCACAAGTGGAATATGAAGAGAAAAGGTAATATCCGTCTGTCATATGATCGGNATGCGTCTGTCATATGATCGGATGCTCCAGAGTCTATAATCTAAGGAGTTTTAGATTTTGAATCAGTAAATAGAGCTCTCAAAAAATTACCTTTATGAGCTAAGGAGCTTGAAGGGCCATTAGGAAGAGACTGACTGGACGTTTGGAGACTGGAAAAAAATTGGTAGAGTTGTTCCAATTGTTCGGGGTTGAATGCACCATTTTGAGGATGATTGACTTTTGCCTCGGCTTGATATCCCCGACTCCTAGTATTTTGTCTTGGCTTCCAGTCGATGGGGTTTCCATGTAAGTCCCAACATGTATCTTCTTTGTGACCTGTCTTACAACAATGTTCACACCACGGTCGACTACGTTGTTTTTGACTTGACCCATTAGTTGATGGACCTTTTGATGACATACCCATGGGTTCAAGCCCATTGCTTTCTAGCCTAAAGCCCTTTCCACCTACAAGCCCGTTAAGCTGATTTAGCCCATTTATTGAAAACCCATTAAACTTACTTCTTTCTTCATTTGGGCCCGTGAATAGTGGCCCAATTAAAGCCCTTTTAGTCTTCAAAACGAGGGCTGAAATTTCATTCGAATTCAGCCCTTTCCCTTCATTCATCATCACGGATCGGCGAGTCTCTTCCCGTCGCACCTCCGAGAAGACTTCGCGTAGAGACGACAGAGGTCGCCGGCCAAGGACGCGACCCCTGACGTCGTCTAGGTCTCGATTTAGACCAGCCAAGAACTCAAAGACCCTTTCTGCTTCTATTTTTTTCTTGTACATTGCGCAGTCGTCTCCGCACTTCCAGCCTTCGTCACTATTGAGATCGAGCTCCTGCTAGAGTGAAGACATCTCCATAAAATAATCGGTAACTTCCCTAGTTTCCTGTTTTGTTTGCCACAACCGGGTCTTGACTTCGAAAATGTGCGATGAGTCCTCCGTGTCTGAGTAAGTGTCTCTCACGACCTCCCACACTTCTTTTGCAGTAGGAAAGAACAGGAAGGTCTTCCCTATTGTTGGTTTCATGGAGTTTACCAGCCAAGCAATGACCAAGGAATTCTCTGAATTCCATCGTTGAAGCAGTGCTGTATCTGTTGGTTTCTTCGAATCGCCGGTGAGATACACCAGCTACCCTTTTCCATCAATAACTAGTTTTATTGATTGAGCCCATTCACGATAGATCCTTCCGATCTATATTTCGACTGTAAGTAGNCACGATAATTCCTTCCGTTCAATTTTTCGACTGTAAGTTGAAAAGACGAGTTCTCGAGACCATGAGAACCAATTGTTAAACTCAGTTTCGACTTGAGGGGCCTCGGAGATGACTGACCCCGAAATTTTTGATGGGAAATTTAGCCATAGATTGCTAGGTTTAGACAACCCTAGGCTTTGATACCAAAAAAACGAGAGAGAATGTTTGTGAATCTCGTTTTTTCATAAAAATTCCAATCTTACATCTCTTTATATAATACAATAATGGAACTAAAAAAGGAAAAAATAAATCTCCTAATAATCACAGCCTATAATTATTTATTTAGACCAAGTATGGAAAGATTTTTATATCTTTCCATAATGCACGATTTTCTACAATTGCATTGGGCCATATTCAATTTTTGAATACAAATGGAAACATTCAATATGAAACTATCTGGATATGTACAGTACGATAGAAAATGAACAGTGCCCAAGAGAAACATACTTGCAATGGCGAAGTGATTCATATCTCTCAGATTCAGTCATAACAGTTTTGCCCTTGAGCACGTGAGTTACTTCATCACTGCAGCATCCCACCAGCAAGTACGTATTGGGAAACCTACATACACGCATTGCATCACGTACATGAGAAATTTAATCTTCGCCATTTGCTTGAACATGTAAAGAAATACGAACTTAAGATCTCGAATTAACAATTATTTTTAGTGAAGACACGCTCAAAGATTGCAGAGCATATAAACCTATCGAAATTACATTATACATTTCCCTAGTACTATTCAAGGGAAACATACAAAACCGGAGAAAATAAAAGTAATTTGTATGGGAAAAATCATTCAATAACAGAAACAACATTACAATTCATATAAAAATGAACTTCTACAAGATGAGTGACAGAATTTTGGTGAATTTAACTTTTGAAAGTAAAAATCGATAATCCAAATTAAACCTTGATAATTAAGCAAAAAAGAAATGAAAAACAATTAAAGCCCGGCAGCCATAACTATAACCGTCCTAATGCCATGAAATTCCATCCCGGTAACCATCCTAATGCAGCAAAATTTCATTCCGGCCGTAACCGTAATCATTCTAACGTAGCGTAATACCTTCCGGTTGTAACTATATACCGTCCTAATGTAGGGAAAAATCCATTCCTTCCGTAAGTATAACCGTCCTAATTGTAGCGAAAGTTCCACTAGTACAAAAATTGGAAAATCAACACAAACACAAAAAGAAGATGCATGCATAGACATAGTAACATAGACAAATGTTGATTATATATGAATTAATGCATACGTACGACATTTTGGCCTGTTCAAGGGAGCGGGCATGGCCGAAATGAAAAAGATCGTAGATCCCATCTGCGTAGACGTGGACGGGGCGGTCGGCTGGTGGCGGAGAAGCCTCCACGATATCGTTTTGAATGGTTTTGCTATGCTCCACTGTCGTTCCAATACCCTTCTCCCTCATCGCACCCTTTGCTTTTCTCGTTTTCCAGTTTTTCTTTTATCCCTTTCAAAAATAAGAAAAGAAGAAGAAGAATTCCCCAACATACCGTCCGTATTAAACTCTGATTTTAATTAAATTAAAAGTGAAACAATTAATATTAACCACATTTTTCATGGATAAACGACTTCACTTACATATTTCAAAAATTTCTATCACAATCTACTAAAAATCTAATTTTAATTTCAACCAAACACTCTCTTAATTTTATAATTCATATTTTCATGCTTTTCAAGAATTAAAATAATGAAATTAATTAAGATGACTTGATAATGTAGGGTCATTGGAAGGACATTAAGGGCCTGTCTGATATCCATTAAAATGGCCAATTAATTCCTTTTCCTACCGTTGGAAGTCACTTCAGCCGCAATACTTGATCGGCCATGAGTGGTGCGGGCCCTAATAACGGTCACCATTTTGATTAAAATTGGTCCAAAATCAGCACCAGACTGTAGAAATTTATAGGCCTAACTCATCTCATAAAACCGGTTCAGCAAGAGAGGTTTGCCACATTTTTTATAAGCTAGCCCAAGATATTGTCCACAGGCGATGTGGGATTTATTTCCAACACCCTCCCTCACGTGTAGGCCAGTAATTTTTTCTGGTCCTTGTCACGGGGTAAGTAGTGTGAGCCCACATCAATCCTATGGTAGGCTCTGATACCATGTAGAAATTTATGGGCCTAACTCATCTCACAAAACCGGTACAGCAAGAGAGGTTTGCCACATTGTTTATAAGCTGGCCCAAGATATTGTCCACAGGCAATGTGGGATTTATTTCCAATACAGACAACCTCTAATTAAGATGACGTGACAACGTAGGGTCATTGATCATTGTAATTAGTTAAGAAAGACACATGATAATCATGAAGAACAACACGTGATGGTGCTACCTTGATTGGAGTTGAGGAAATCTCACCATCGTAATAGACGTGACTCGTCCATTAGGAGAACTCAGCTAATACTTACAAATGAATTTTTGAATCAAGTCCACTGTTAAAAGAAATAATTCATATATTAATCAAACCATAATCTCAAGTGGCTACATCAAACCTTGACTAAATTATTTAGCTCATGAAGAAATTCATAAAATCTAAATAATCTACAATGGAAAACATAAAGGAGAATGTAAGAAAAACTCTTTTTGGAGTGTTGCTCGAAGTCCCCTTTGATATTTCCATGCTTTCTTCAATTTATTTATTCCATTTTTTGTATTGCCTCCTAAGCCGTCTTCTTCTCCTTGAATTAGGTCTTCAAACTTGTATTTATAGTCTCAATAGATAATAACTTGGATCCGGGTCGGGCCGAAAAAATATAAAAATTGCATTTTTTTTCCTTTCCTTGGGTTGCAGCGCCTAGGCGTCGCCTATTCTATTGATTTTCAGAATAATGGGTGCCCGATTCGGGTAAAATGACAGACTGCACATTCCTTCAGTATTGTTATCATAACTTTTTCTTCTGATATCCGATTGAGATGAATCAGGATGCGTTGGAAATCTAGCGCAAAGGCTAGAACTTTGCTTCAGACATCATCCTCCAATTCGATTGTTTACTGTGTCAAAAGTGAGTCTCAATATGAGACTAAAAATCCGGAGCAAAACTTTTTTGGTTAGAATTTGATGTGTGATCACTCTTTGGTTATATTTGATCTCTTTGACATCTTTCTTCATCCAATTGACTATTAACACTCTCAAATCTTCATCATGAGGTTCGTCACGGCTGTTGAGTATTTGTGCTTTAATCCTCAAACTTTGGAACTCTTACAATTTAGCAATTTTCTCCAAATTTGTCAATTGTTACTTATTTTCTTCAATTTCATCAACCTACATCACAACTTTGGAGATTCATTAGGAGAGGCCGGAAGTAAGTGATGTGGGGAGGGGTTGGAAGTGTGGGGGGTTTGGGAGAAGATAAACATTATTTTCTTTTTCTTTTTCCTTTTTTGATTTTTTTAAATTTTTTGAATTATATTTTATATGGTAATATTATAAAGTTACCATTTTACCTTGATTTTATAAAAAATGGTAAACTTTAATTTTTTTGGGTCAACTGAAGGCATCTTTGATGGAAACCATCCAAAAGGGCCTCACCTACCACGTTTGGAGGCCTACAACGTTTGAAACTGTAAGCGGTGACGGCTGCAACAAATCAAAAGTTTAGGGAAAGTCTGCTAGTGTTTCAAAGGTTTGAAGTTTTTGCTGCAATTATCCCTTAAATAACGATAGACATCAGAAATCTAAATAACATAGGTTAGAATAGCTGCATTTACTAATCAGATGTACAAGAGAACTTTGAAAAAAAAATAAACATTAATAAGTTAAACCAAAATAGAAATGCAGGATAAAAAATAATTGTAAGAAAACTATCAAAATAATTTTTTTATTATTATTATATAAATGACAAATTAAGCAAACATAAGCATTAGCACACTATTTTTTGTTTTTACAGTCACCAAAAAAATGGAAAAGAAAAAATCGAACCTTGATGAACCTATTTTTTTTTCTATTTTCTTGCTTGGAAAGAATAATATATAAGCACAGAAATATGCAGTCACCTTTGAGAAATTCTTTATCTGGCCACGTATCCAAAATAAAGAAGACCAAGAAGGGCAGTTCCAAGGCAGAACAGGAAAACAGACTCAACACTGAGTAGGCCACCTGCCTCAGTAACTTCAATTGTTCCATTGTAGAACGTGCTCTGGTGTGGATTCTGATCAATCTCATACACAATACCACTTGCAAAATATGTGTGCGTCTTTGTGAGAGAGAGGCATTGGGGCGAGAATTTTAATGAGATACTACATACAAAAAGCTAAATGAAGATGAATGTTAATTGAAATGCATGAAAGTAAATGCTAATTATTTTAGTATAAATGATGCATGCATGCATTTATTTAGGTAAATGTATTCAAAATATAATTATCAATGTATGTGTGCATGCATGCATTTACGTAAATGTTTTAGTATATTTTCTGGATAATTACATGCAATTAAAAAAATTATTTACTTCTGGAATAATCGAATAGCTCTCAAAATATATAAAGTGTACATGAACTTGAAAACTCGATGTGATATTTTGTATATCTATAAATAAATAAATGTTAATTATTATACATGTATATAAATAAATAATTGAATTTTAGTACTCTAGAGTAATTCAATAGCCCAAAACATATAAAATATAAATAAATGTTAATTATTATTATTATTTTACATGCATGTATATAAATAATTGAATTTTAGTAGGGCACGAAAAATGATTCCTCCTTGATGTGATATTATAGATTATAGATTATAAATTAGTGATTAACGTGAGGTCTAAATTAATTATCCAAACTATTGTGCGTTTATTTTATTTTATTTATTTTGTTTTCAAGATTATTCCATTAATCTACGTTTAAATTCATTCTTCAAGTACCTGTATACACCATTTTGTCTAAATTATTTTTCCAAGATCGCGTGTATATATAGCATGCGTGTCCCATTTCTATTGTAATTGTGAAGATGAATATTAATTAAAACACTTATTTAGGTTTAAGATTAAGATTAATCATTATGTGATGTCGAAATTAATTCCCCAAACTATTGTGCATTTATTTTATTTTGTTTTCAAGAATTATTGTATTAATCTATGGTATAAATTCATTCATCAAGTTCATGTATACATCATCTTGTCTAAATTAATTTCCCAAGACCACATGTACATATAGCATGCGCGTCCAGTTTCTTTTGCTATAATAATTGCGAAAATGAATATTAATTAAACCGCTTATTTAGTTTCAAGATTAGTCATTAATATGAGGTCTATAATAAATCTCCAAAGTTTAGTTCATTAATTTTGTTGTGTTTTGTTTTTTAATGATGTGGCAATTTTTTTTTAAATATAACATAAACTTTATCATATTAAATTATAATTTCATTAAATTATAAACGATAAAATAACAGGTGTATTTTGTGTCGATGTTTCGAACAAAAATAATAATGTGTCTATCTGATCTAAATTAATATTCAATCTTCTATTTTTAGTTTCTTGCTTGGATGGCTTCCTGCATTATCTCCTTTGTATCTACCTTGTAAACTTCATCGACAATCAATTTCTTATGTGATCTTTTTTCTCTTTTCTTCACATCTATCTTCACGAAGAATTTGAACTATTTATCTNGGTCTATAATAAATCTCCAAAGTTTTGTTCATTAATTTTTTTGTGTTTTGTTTTTTAATGATGTGGCAATTTTTTTTTTAAATATAACCTAAACTTTATCATATTAAATTATAAACGATAAAATAACAGGTGTATTTTGTGTCGATGTTTCGAACAAAAATAATAATGTGTCCATCTGATCTAAATTAATATTCAATCTTCTATTTTTAGTTTCTTGCTTGGATGGCTTCCTGCATCATCTCCTTTGTATCTACCTTGTAAACTTCATCGACAATCAATTTCTTATGTGATCTTTTTTCTCTTTTCTTCACATCTATCTTCTCGAAGAATTTGAACTATTTATCTTCCGACAACATGAGCTTCTTGTAATATTAACACAGTTCCTTTTTCTTAGTCTGAGGAGAATATACCAAGATATATACTTACAAAGATGAGATAATCGCCTAATTTTAGTTAGAAGTAATATGATACGTTGAAAACACAAAATCTAAATTATATTTTTACCTTGAAAAGAGCCTCAACATATTCGATCACAGTACATCCTATGAAGGACTCGACAACATCAAAGATTGTGACATAAACTTCTTGATTACCATCTGGAACTATTAACCTAAGCAAATATTTTCTAGTAAAAGCTATGTCCTTAATTTCACATCTTGTACACTGGACAATTTTTTTATCCGCCTCTGGGTAAACTCTTGCACCGCACTCATTACATATTTCATACCATGGATTGTTCTTGTTTTGAACTTTTATAATCTTGCCTATAAAAGCACAATACAATTTAGTCACACTATTTGTAAC